TCAGGACTGTTGCATGATCATATGAGTTTGATTATGTTGAGATATCAATTTGGTTCAGCTCAAATCAGTGCAAAATATCATTCCGCGGAGTTCTGTTTTAACATGCGTTTATTTTCTGTTCTTCTGCTATCTGCCAAGTTTAAAGTCAAAACAGTGGAAATTTTGATTCGTGTTCGGGTTTATGATTTCTGTTTAATCGTGATTTTTGGGCTGAATTGGTTCAGGACATGGGACTTAGTTATCAGAGACACAAATTGAATTTTTGATGCGGGTTATATTTCTGTCTTCACTGTTAATCAGATTTCTCTGTTCTTTTCTGCTTCGTCCATGGCCATCATCGATTCTATCATCAGGTGCGATTTAATTTGGGAAATATTGGATTGGAATTGAAGGTTATATCATGTTTTAAGTGGAGCAACACGTGTTGAAATGGCGAAGTTTGATTCAATTGATTTCTTTGGATTTATTCATATTGAATTTATATGGTGAAGATTAATTCCATTTGTTTAAGTTTAATCGTTTAAACTTTAATCGGTTGAATTTATTCGGAGGCTCTTAATCAGTTGGATTTAATCGGATATTTTTGTGGGTCAGTCGGTTGCGACAAAATTAAGTTGGAAAGAAGAAATAGACAAGTGTTTTGGATAAGAAAATAAAGTGAATTTTATTTATTCATATTTATATTCTTATTACAATTTACAAAAAGGAATTTAAATTACATTTTATTTTTTATTCTAAAAAGTTCCTAAATCTCCTAAACGTTTCTTCATGCTCGATCATTCGAATGGATTCTTCGCGCCAATTATTCAAGACTCGACTTTGTCTTCGTACCTGCAATACCGACAAAAACAAAGCAAACAGATTGTTAAAGTGAAAAATTATTTCAATGGTTCGACACCCTCAAAGTGATTTCATCATCGGGTGTCGGGAGGGCAACGACAAATGCCGAAGCCAGCTCCCAAATCAATTCCCGACCTCGGCACCGATAGACAGCATCTGTTCTATTTTTTTTGGGACATACGGAGAAAGAGAAAAAGAAGTGATTTCCGCCAACAAAGTGATTATCTGGATAAGCACTTTTGAAAAAATGATTTTCTTCAGCCAAACAGGTTCAATCCAAAATGAAATTCGAATCCAGAATCAAAATCCAGAATCAGAATCTGTTTCATCAAGTAAATTATGAATATCCATTTCAGATCCACAACAGATCCGAAATCCATCCAAGTCCAACCTGTTGAAACAAATCCAAAACGCAAATCAAAGCCCGGAATCACGACAGATCGAAAATAAGAGGAGAACCAAATCCGGATCCGGTTTTCTATCAAGTAAAATCATCATCAGATCCGAATCCGATTTCCCCATGGGCTCAGTAAACATCATCGCCTAGGATAATCAAAGAATAAGATCCAGAGCCAAAAGTGAATCAAATCACCATCAAAGGATCCGAAAAAATCAAATCGTATCTCGTTACATCTGCAAAATTCATCAAATAAAACGTAAATCCAAGGATCCGGCCCAGTAAGAGTGAAAAGAAGAATATAAAACAAAACCATCAAGGTCACGGAACCCTAGGAGGACAGCACCGTAAGGACGGAACCAACGAAAACCTCCATCGTTTGAAATCCTGAAACTGTCAACAGACATCACAACAAGCAAACAACGGCAGCGAATCATCAAAAACACCGATCCAACCCGTTAGAATCCAGAAACCTCAGTTATAAAATGAATGAACGAACAACCGAACCTTTGGCCTCAGTTCATACATCATTGGCCATAGCAAACAGACAAACAAATTCATCATCACCGAAACGGCGCAAACCCTCACGAAGCAACAAGAATCACCCATCAAGAACTTCATCAAGTGTCATACGAACAACCGCAAGGCCTCTGAGCACGGAATAACTCGTCATCATCCATAAAGGTACCGTCAACCGCCGTCCGTCACCGTCAGAAAAAACAGGCTACTTTTGAACCGTGAGTTAGTGTTGTTTTGTTCTATTTTGTGTAGAAAGAAGAGTTTCTGGTAAAAGCATCACGGGAGAAGAGATAGAGAGGTTTGAGAAGAAGCAAAAATGGCAGAACAACACCCATGAGGGGCCGCCGCAGTGCTGTTGTGGATTTAGGGGTTAAAACCCTAAAAATGTTTCAACCCCCTTTTTAATTATTGCCAGACGGGTCGGGTCTAGGGGTAATGACCCAGCCCGACCCATTTTTATTTTTCAGTTTTTTATTATTATTATTTTCTTTTGGTTTTGAAATAACTTTTTTAAAAGTTTAATTAATATTTTGTTTTTTTTCAATTAAAATTGACATCTTCTTTTCAAAATAAAATCCAACATCATTTTTTTTAGTTAATTAAAATTAACTCTAGTTTTTAAAATCAAACCTTTTTCAAAAAAATTAAGATTAACCCTTTTTTAAATTAAAAACTGTTTTTTTGTAAAAAAAAAATTTAATTCTAAATTTCTTTCTTTTTAAATAATTCTAAAATTCTAACCTTTTTTATGTTAAATTTCTAACTTTTTTTAGAATGCCAAACACACCTCTTATTTAATAAAAATTCAAACCCTTTTTTTAGCCTCACAAAATCTTGTACCGGTTAATTTTAATTTCTGGCTGATTTCCATTCTTAATATCGTTCTCGATTATCCGTGAATTTGTTACTAACCTTGTCTTTGTATTTTTATTTGTACATTCTCTAACATTACCATTATTATTATTGTCCGCATCTTATTTTCACTTGTGCATCGTCACCATCTTCATTGCGTATCAAACTTTCACTTTTATCCATTATTCATTGTTAATTCACCTTCCGAAGGAATTACGTTTAACAGTTGACCGCCGAGTCAATACCTTTGACCATTCCAACCCTAATTAGCCTAGGTGTCCCTCCGTGGACGAAAATATCTTTTACCCTAGCATTAGGTCAAAGAGTCGCCGCACTCTGTTTTAAGGTTTCCCGCCTTGAAATCCCTAATCTAACCCTAATTTCAATTAAACATTTCAACCTAGAAATATGAGTTTCAAAACTCCACATAAGCGTGTTCTTAAGATACGTTTATTCCCATTGAAACCTTGATCACCGTCAAGACGTTTCTAACCTCCCTTTCGAGGGGAACTACGATTACTTTGATTTCATTCCCTATCCAGGATACGTAGGCACAAGATGCGAATCTTGCCGAGTAAACTTAGGACTAACCCTTAGGTCTTTCTATGTCACTTTTAACCCTTACCTTTGTATATACCTAAAGCAAATAAATAAAGCAAAAATAGTAAAAAAAAATAAACAAAAGGTTCCTGTAGAGTACTACAGAAGTTTAGTGTGCTAATTCTTTCCCTAAGCTTAACCAACCCCTTACCTAGATCTCTCCCCGCATTGTGTTTACGATGCAAAAATAAGTTTTCCCTCTTTTGACCTTTTCCTTCAAATAAATCAAAGAGCGGTTATGAATTGAATTGTGATTCAAATTAATTAATAGTTTGATATCTTATTTCCACCGCAACAAATTACATCTGATTTTTCGTGTTCCTCCATCAACAGAGACACCATGCTTCCAAGCACTATCAGTTCTACTTCCAGGAGCATTTTTTTGAACTTTTGGTGGTGTAGATGAGGATGCAAGAACTAGAATTGATGAAGACATTGGAAAAAAGTGTGGTAGAATAGAAGGTATGATGAGAGATCGTATAACTAAAGAAGAAAAGAAGTTGATGATTGAATAGAAATGTATGATTGATTTATAGATGGAATTGAAGAAGAATAAATGATATCATTTAATAAACTGATATTTTTCAGATTGATTTTTAATTTCCCCCAAAAAATCAGCCTTGTAGATAGCAATAGATTTTGACTTTTAATGATGAAAAACAGCTAATTTAATGTGAAACGACCGATAGAAAAAGCTGAACGGGCTACCTTCTTCAATGGACATTGGACCGAGTCGGGTCGAAACGGGTTGGACAAATTTTCCACTATAAAATAGATCTTCACTTTCACGATTTTACGATCTTACACTACACTCCTACCGCGCTGCCTTCTCCAGCGATCTTTGCTTCGCTCCGCCACGGAGCATGGTGAAAACTCGTAGGATCTTAAGATCTCACGATTTAAATCTAGATTTTGACAACCATGGTTGGAATTAAAAACAAAACTCCATTGTTGCACTATAAGAAGAAGATGAAAGAATTGCAGAATTTTAGATACAGAGAAAACGTAACGGCTAGCTTTTCTTCATCAAACTTAGTTTCTCTAAAATTTAACTATGTTCATTATCATTTGTAAATTATATACAATAACTTAAACCCAAATTAAATAAAACTAAAACTCAAATACAACTTGAATTTGAATTACATTTAACACATTGAATATCTTCGGCCAATTACCTTAGCAAACCAAACCAAATAACTGATCTTTCTATCAAACCACTACATCTTAATCCTTTTTCATTTCTGGTTTTTAAATTTGGACTTGTTAGTTTGAGGGCTGTTGGACTCTAATTTATTTTGTAATTAGTTTCTTAATTTTCCTCTATTTCAGTTTGTTAGAAAATCATTTAGAGATTTTATCTAAGTTTAGAGTGTAAAAAATAACTAATGTACTCCTTGTAACAATTGATGGGACCCAAAATTAATTCCAATTATCTTTCCTTGTATTACTTTGTCCTTTTCATTATGGAGGAAGTGCAGTGGTCACCAAAGCCACATGTTATCACTTTCTGAAGCGTGTTTCATTCACAAAACTGTCCCTTCCTTTTCATTCTCTTTACCTTCTATCCATCTCACTCTCACTCTACTCCCTCTCCTGCTTTCTACATCAACAACCGCACAGTTCCACGCCTACTTCCAGTGTGTACTTCCGGTGTGTACTGTTATCATTCATAGTTTTTTGTTTTGTTTTGCGGAAAGGTATTCATTAATAGATGTTTCAATCATTGAGCATTTTAATCTCACTTTCAGAAGATCCTGTCAACATAACATAATAATCAGTAACTACTAAGAAGATGATTATAACAAATGTTGCCGAGTATGAAGCGATTGCAAAGGAAAAGTTGCCAAAGATGATTTATGACCACTATGCATCAGGGGCAGAGGATGAGTGGACATTGAAAGAGAACCGAAATGCATTCTCAAGGATTCTGTAATCACTACAAACTTGTTTTATTTGATTTTCATTTGTCCTTCAGCTCAACCTTGTGTGTTTTCTGCTCTTACTATCTATGTTTACTGAAAACAGATTCAGGCCGCGTATTCTCGTGGATGTAAGCAAGATCGACTTGACAACAACTGTATTAGGCTTCAAAATATCAATGCCGATTATGATTTCTCCTACGTCCGTGCAAAAGATGGCTCACCCCGAAGGTATGTCACCAAAGCAATCTCAAGTTCTTAGAGATTTTATGTAGGTTAGCCACAGTTTAATTACGATAAAACAAATAGAGACCTAATTTAGCCACAATTTAGCCATCACTATTTTTGAATCCTGTGCGGTAGACTGCCTTGCACGCTCTAAAAATAGTTCTCTATGTCACCGTACTCATTGGTCTGTGTTATATTAAGATGTTATTGCATACCGTCTTTTGATATTGATGTACTTTTTGTTAAAACAGAAAGCCTATGATTCTTTATGTGTTTGACATTGAACTTCATTTTCTATTACAATATATAAAAACTTAGGAAATTAAAATAAATCATGCATTTTTGTGTGCAGGAGAGTGCGCTACTGCTAGAGCAGCATCAGCAGCTGGCACCATCATGGTTTGGTTTCCACCATGTTTATTCTCTAATTTAGTTTTATATCAAATCAACAGCTATTTTGTTGTATTTATTACAAACTCGGAGATTCATTTTCATATGTTTGTGACAGACACTAGCCACAGAGGGTTCTTTTAGTGTTGAGGAGGTTGCTTCAACTGGACCTGGCATTCGTTTCCTCCAACTCTATGTGAGTATATTGCTCGCGTTTCTGCTCTACATGATTTTATTTTTCTATGAAGTGCATCACTACCTTGTTTAACAAGAAAACATTTCTTCGCTGAGTAAACATTTCCATGCAACTTAGTTTAAACCAAAATTTGGAAAATCGGATCAAGTCTGGACAACCCTCATTCCGACTTTGGTAAATTGAAATAAAAAATACAAAGATCGAATGTGAGCAGTCTTATTTTGCTCTCATCGTTCAGATTGGCAAGATTTCTTATCAAGATTTTAAACTATTTTTTCTTCTCTCAGGTGTTTAAGGACAGAAATCTAGTTACTCAACTAGTGAGAAGAGCTGAAAATGCTGATTTCAAGGCAATTGTCCTTACTGCAGACACTCCAGTGTGTGGTCACAGGGAGGCTAACATAAAAAACAGGTTCACAATCATTGAAAAAATTCAGTTAACGCGATTAGTCTCTCTATTTTAAAGCTAAATTTCCTGATTTCTTAGATGAAGTTTTGTACAGATTTGCATTTCCATCATACGTGAAATTTAAGAATCACCAAGACACGGATCTTGAAAAGGTGCGTGATATATATGAAAACTTCAAACCAGATTTTTTTTCTTCTTTTTCTGTAATTTTAATATTTGAGAAATTGGATATAACCTTGCAGACTAAAGACTCTAATCCCGCCTCCATTGTTAGTGATCTATACGACCAATCACTCAGCTGGAAGGTGATATAATGATATATAGATCTTTCTTAATATGCGACGTTGAATATGGAAATCATAATATATATTATGGCAAACATTGTAACAGGATGTAAAATGGCTTCAAACAATAACCTCATTGCCAATCATAATCAAGGGTGTACTTACCGCTGAAGATAGTAAGATCATTAAACATATATATTTTGATGCTATCTTTCCCTTTCCATTTGACAATCCAGTCTTATGCTAATAATGCAGCTAGGTTAGCCATACAAGCAGGAGCTTCTGGAATCATTGTTTCCAATCATGGTGCTCGCCAACTCGACTATGTCCCTGCAACTATTACGGCTTTGGAAGAGGTCTGATAGTTTTCTTTTTCATTGCCTTGTTTCCTGTTGTTGGCCTAACAGAGTAACTTCCTTTTTGAACACATTACCTTGAATAGGTTGTGCAAGCTGCAGAAGGAAGAGTTCCTGTTTTTATGGACGGTGGAGTTCGTCGAGGGACAGATGTTTTTAAAGCACTGGCTCTCGGAGCAAGTGGCGTGTTTGTAAGTATATATGAAAATTTGAATACCATTATGAACCATCAAAATAATCTAGCTGTGATGTGATTAATCTGGTAGATTGGAAGACCTGTGGTGTTCTCGTTGGTGGCTGATGGCGAGGCTGGTGTAAGAAAAGTACTTGAGATGCTTCATGACGAGCTTGAAATAACCATGGCACTTTGCGGCTGCTCTTCGCTTAAGGACATAACTCGTGACCATGTTGTAACAGAATGCGACCGCCGAAGAATTGCTCCTAGGTTATGAGGTAATATGTATGTGTGTGATGAATAAGAAAATTATGGAAACCATATCATTTGCATTTGTAACTTAGTATTTTTAGATTTGGAATTGATTTGGTTTACTATGGCAAACCTTGTAACACTATGTAAAATGGCTTCAAACAATTATCGCATTGCCAATTTTAGTGAAAGGAAGATACAGTAAGCTTTTCAAAATTATATTGTTGAGAAGCATGAGTGCATAAACGAGAAAAATAAAATAAGAGATGATTCAATTGTTTAGTATTGCTTCAATCATAAAATATCTATTACAATTAATATACCATACATTTGATTATGACCAATTAATAAATCTTAACTAACTTCTAACAAAACTAATTAACTAATAACTACCTATAACTAAATATAACAACTAACTTTAACACCCTCCCTCCAAGTTGGAATATGATATTAACATTTTATATAGTGTTGTTGTATATGTTCTCCTCTGGAGTACACACAATCAGTTACTTGAGTAGAAGTTTACTATAGAGATAGTGTTGTGTTTTTTTAGTTATCTATTGATCAAATTTATAGTTGGAGTCTCTATGATGTAACATGAGGGGAATGGACTGTTCTTTTCTTTGTTTTTCTTATGTTGCATATCTTCTCTTTATTTGGATATTGAACCACTTTACAAATTTATTGTTGTTGTGCTACTTATCAAATGATTCAATTTTCAATTATGTCATTCATGTATGTTTTGTTGGTGTACGAGTAGCATTCTACTTGAATGATTTATGTGTTATACATGTTATATTTAATTATTTGTCGAGTCGGGAAGTAGAGTGTTACAGTAGTGGTATTCGAGCAGGTCAGTCCATCGGGTCAGGTTTTTGTAATGTTGAATGTTCCCTTGTGCACTACATGTGCGTGAAAACACTATCGATGCTTAAGAAGAGTATTTTTGAGGAAGGTTAAAGGAGTGATCTGAGTATTCATCTCGGTGCTACTAAGATGTATCATGACTTGAAGAAAATATTTGGTGGCCAGGAATGAAGAAGTATATAACCGAGTTCGTTTATGCGTGTTTAACTTGTCATAAGTCGAAGATTGAACATCAAAAGTCGTCGGGTCTGTTGTGGTGAGAATCGTGATACCAAGCTATTGATTAACTTGAATCTTTAATTCTTTGAATTCACAACCGGACTTTAATTTATCCAAAGGAAAGGTCTAAAGAGAGAAAGAATCTTTTGCGCGATGTAACAACAACGCTAAGAGATCGGGGGTTGGTTATGCATAGGGTAGGTATTTCACATCCTAAACATATGTAGTAATTTACAGGAACCTTTTGTTTGTTTGCATGCTAAATTTGCTAAATGTTTGCTATGGGTTGGGATTGGGTAAAAGAATGTAGGTTAAAACCTAAGAATAGTTTCTAAGTTTGCTCGCAAAGACATTGTGTCCTCTGCCTACGTATCCTAACTAGGATAGAATCAGAGCAATCGTAGTTCACCTCACTAGGGATGAAGAACACTTGATTATGATCAAGGTTCAAAGGGGAACAAATATTACAATGCTTGTATAGAGTCTAACAAAACTCTCTAGATCTATGTTGTAACACTCAATAGGGGAGTAAGTAATCATTACTATGATTCTTACATAGAGTTTACAAACTCTATCCTAGGGTTCTAGTTGAAGAAACACTCCTAGTAAAGGTGGGTTTTTTAGACTTAGAGCAAAGTCTAAGGGCTTATACTAAGGTTCAAAATGACTTCACAAAGTCAAGGGAAAGGGTAATGAGCTATCCATGACACAAGGGTCAATGGAGAGACTTTTCCTTTGGAAGGAGAGGGAGAGGCAACTTGGATGAGAACTAAAAAGCTCCATCACTTGGGGAAGAAAATTTAACAAAGCAAAAAACATTTAAGCAAGAAGAATAAGGAATATGGTTACAACCAAGTAGACATGCATATTACAATAGGCAAGGATTGGTATAAATACAAATGGTTACGACCAAGGATCATATATCTTAACAAAGACGAAGGTAACAACCCAAAGGGTACATATTAACAAACATGGAAACAACAATCATGCAAATAAGTTACAACTTAAAATGATCATGTTATAAGTTCAAATGTAACAACATTTAGGCATTGATGACAATCAAATACGCAAGGAATAATCACAACAGTTAAACTCAAGACTTAGGAAGAGAACAACAAATTTATGGTAACCACCAACAAGGAATGAAGTCTCAACATGTTAACAAACACAAAGAAATCCAATATATCAATAAATCTCACAAGATAAGTCAAGTATAGTATGAAAGAAATTCAATCACGACACAAGATAACGACCTCAAAGAGAATCCAACTTACAAGTAGGCAAAAAGGTATTGTAAAAACAAGCAATTTGAGATATTATTCCATTAAATGAAAATAGACATTACAATGAGCTTTTTGTAAAAAGAACGGATTAAAAATGATAAAGCATGAGAAAGTTGTGATTCAATGAAATTTCATAAAATAAATAAAGTGAGCGATAAAAAAGAAATGGCATGGGAAGGGATTGAACCCACGCCCTTGTGATTCACAAAGCCAACACAAACCAACAGGCCACAGCGGGCGCGTGTGAGAGGAATGGAAAGAGAGAAGAAAAATAAAACAATGACAATTGAAAAATAAAAAGCCAAAAGAGTTGATCTCCACAATGGATCGAACTCAGGTCAGGCAAGTCAAAGGGTATAAGGCGCGCAGGTTTCTACCACTGGGGTGGCTATACATCCAAGTATTTAGCCACCCCAATAAACTTATAAGGCTTCCTTGGGCAAGATACCTGGGCCAGGCCAAGGCAAAAACAAGGACAAGTTGAAATACGTTTTGATCCATAACTCTCTCAAAACCTAATCTTTTTTTTGTGAAATTTTAGTCAAACTTGATTTTTTTATGAGGATGAAGGTGGTATTAACAAAATTTTGAAATAACAACCACACATTAAAACACGATAGCACATGCATATTGGCATTTTGAGATGCAATTTGATGAACATGGATCAAACCAGATGCAATTAGGATTAATGAAAGATATGAGCAAGTTACAAACATGATTATGAATGAGTCCTAGCAAGGATTTTGATCAAAACAGTGTTGGATCAACAAGAGGCATATGAATTGCAATGATAGACATGATATGGTCACTGCTGTCCAAAATTTAATCAAGAGGCCAAACATGGATGTATTCATACTTGAATCAAAACAGAACAAGAAAACTTATGGCATCTCAACCAAACTATTTGAAAAGTAATGAATAACAAACTGATAAAAATCAAAGTGTCAAGATCAAAAGCCAAACAGAACTGAAATCATCATGCCAAGTGAAAATGGAAAAAATGCAATTTGAAAGTGAAGTCAATGAAATAAACATAAACAAGTTGAACAGGCTTCACATACAAACTCAAATCATATTATTAAGTGTTTCTACACTTCAAAATTCATCACAAACCAAGCAAAAGTGAAAGTGGTATGCTAGTGGCTCATTTAAGCATGAAAAGGCATAATAGAAGACATGTCATGATTGGAAAAGGTTTAGGCAAAACAAACACGATACACAAGTCTCAAATGCATCAATGAATGATTCTAACACTTAAGATTGATCATGAAATGCACATAACACAAATTGGCTCACAAACTGCAAGTGTGGCACATATGGAAGGCAAACTGTCAAAACAGATAGGATAGAAATTGGCAAAGCAATAAAATGAGGTCTGGTTCATGTACACAAAACCTAATCATGTTATCTAAAGGTCCTATGCTCATGGAATAATTCAAAACAACACAAATAGCATGAGTGAAGTGTGTGCTGCAGCTGTGGTTTTTCAAAACAGTTTGACAGCATAGTGAGGTTACAAATTGGTCTAGCCAAAAGTGAGTGGTCTCATGTCAAGGGATAGCACATACACATCATAAACATAAAAGTAAATGAGATCATGACCTAAAATCAGGCATATTGCAGTTAAAACAGAATTTGGTATAGTACATGGCAACTTTGGATTGAAAATGCATTTTGAGAGTGTACTGATAAACCAAGTGAAAACAGCTCAAACAAACAACACACACGCACCACAAACATGAAGATGAATGAGTTTTAACTCTAAGTTCAGGCATATGCAAACAGAACAGAAACTTGACATGTTGATGGTTAAAAAATGCAAAACTGTCTTGAAACAACACTAGTGGTTCAGCAGGGCATTTGTCAAGTAATGAGCTTCATGTTAAACCAAAGACATACACACATCACAAACATGCTAATAGATGAGATCATGCTCAAGAATCAGTTTAAAACAACACCAAGCAGAATATGGCATGTTGGATGGAATCAAAACATGAAAATGTAAGATTGTCAAAATTCAAAAACAGTAGAATCTGTCATGGCAGCTGAGATAATTAGGCATCACATACAAAAACAAGATGGAACAGAATCGGGCATATTGTTGGTATCATGAAGTTTTGAAAATGCAAGTGGAGAATGAAAAGTTGTTTTGAAAATGTAAGCTCAGTTTGAACATACAAGTACCACACACAAACTCTAAACCTGTTAAATGATGTTTTCATACTTAAAGACCACACACAAACAACTCAAGCTAAAAACTGGTATGCTGGTTCAAACCTTTGACAGCAAAACAAACAAAACTTCACAGCTGGCCTTATGGCTAAATTTCATGCTTTCAACATTTTCAACAAGTTTCCAATGGTAGCAAGACATACAAGATTATACAAGTACAAACTAATCAGTTTAAACACTTGAGATGAAACTTTGTAGGCACATATCATTTCAACACAAAAACTCATAACAATGGTAAAGCAAATGTATCAAATATCACAACAAGCCAACCTAGATTCAAACATGACCTAGGGGCAGGGGGGTCTCATGAAACAACTAAAAAGTTATCCAAATATCACCAATAAAACAAAGCAGCTAGATTGTATTAAGCATAATAACATTTCATGTTTGGATCCCTAAAGCTAAACTTGTAGACAAAATTCTG